AATGGAGAGGTTTGATCTTCTTGCAGTCCATGGGACTCTCAAGAGTCTCCTCCAGCACCAGAATTCAAAAGCATCCATTCTTCAGCGATCAGCCTTCTTTATGGTCCAGCTCTCACTTCCATACATCACTACTGGGAAAACCATAGCTTTAACTATATGGATATATAGGAGAGGATATATTGTTTATTAATATCCTTCCTAACTTGTGCTTGCAAGTTCCTTTACTTAGCAGAGTTACATCCCCCTTTTTACATGCACAGCAGATAGCTGGTTGCAGGCTCGTGTAAGCCTCTCGCTATTATACAATTCAGTCTGTTTCAAAGCGTTCCAAAACCAAGCTGCGCTTTCCCATAGAAAGGAATGCGAAATGGATGAAGCTGTTCCAGACTTTTAAAAACAACCCCTAAAGCAGCAATTTAACATGAACTTTACTATCTGACGAGGCAATTGATCCATAAAATGGAAGCAATAAACAATGTACTGCAAGTCGCACAATCCATCCATCAGTAGCTGAACTGGGTTCCACACAGTCACAAAAAAAAAACAAAAAAAAAAGAGCAGTAAAAACAAAAACGCAAAATAAAGAGCGAAATCAGACAGACCTCGGTGTAACACTCAAATCGGAAGCGTAACACTCAAAACGGAGCACATTCAGCTTCTGAAAAAAGTTTGCAAACCGGAACACTTACCGTGTTTTTTGCACCATAACACTCACTTTTTTCCTCCTAGAAGGTAAGGGGAAATGTCTGTGCGTGTTATGGAGGGAATGCCTATGGGTGGCATGCCTACGGATTTTCCTCCTCTAAAAACTACGTGCGTGTTATGGTTGGGTGCGTGTTATAGAGCGAAAAATACGGCACTTCCGGGTTTACAGCGTTCTGGTTCCAAGTTGTTCAAGTACCAAGGCGTTTGAGAACCAAGGTACTAGTGTAATAATAATGGAATCAGACGTCCCTATTTTCATCGGCAAAACGATGGCAGGGAGTTGTTCCAAGCCCTTTAAATTTTGCTTGCATCCTTCTGGTCTCACTTCCCATCTTTCCAGATAAATGGAGAACCAAACTACCGTATTTTCCGGTGTATAACACGACCCCCCAACTTTTCCAGTCAAAATACAGAGTTTGGGATATACTCGCCGTATAAGACTACCCCTCTTCCAACGCACACCAAATAAAAATTAAAAAAACCAGTCTCCAGTCTGGCTCAGAAATCCGCTGCACTTTCCAGTGGCCGGGGGCTTCTGGGGCCAATTTTCAAGCGTATTTCTGCTTCATCTAGAGAGCTCGGGGTCCCTTGATTTAATTTGCTGTCGTTTTATCCTTTGGTGGGGAGTTGCTGCAGGAGCTGCTGCTGTAGCCGGCGTATAAGACGACCCCCGACTTTTGAGAAGATTTTCCTGGGTTAAAAAGTAGTCTTATACGCCAGAAAATACAGTATGTAACGGCAAGCTTTTCTTTCCAGTTTTTCAAAACGAAGCACAGTTTGAAGCACCTTAAGGTCTGGGCCTTAAAGAAGGCTGATCGCCGAAGAATGGATGCTTTTGAATTCTGGTGCTGGAGGAGACTCTTGAGAGTCCCATGGACTGCAAGAAGATCAAACCTCTCCATTCTGAAGGAAATCAGCCCTGAGTGCTCACTGGAAGGACAGATTGTGAAGCTGAGGCTCCAAGACTTTGGCCACCTCAGGAGAAGAGAAGACTCCCTGCAAAAGACCCTGATGTTGGGAAAGATGGAGGGCACAAGGAGAAGGGGATGACAGAGGACGAGATGGTTGGATAGTGTTCTCGAAGCTACCAGCATGAGTTTGACCAAACTGCGGGAGGCAGTGGAAGACAGGAGGGCCTGGCATGCTCTGGTCCAGGGGGTCACCAAGAGTCGGACACGACTAAACGACTAAACAACAACAAGGTCTGGGCCAAATGAGATCCTAAAACAGGCAGAGATCAAGACACACAGCTGCCCATTTGCAAGAGAAACAGTCACCTTATAAGGACGGCGTAATGAGCTTCCTAACGGAACGCATGCGAAGCCCTTTAAAAAGTTCCATATCGGTGCCAAGTATTAGTGGTCCTAATTAGCATTAATAGCAGTAATTAGAATTAAATTAGAGCTGGGGCGGCATCACGCCGGCAGTTGGTGAGCTGAAACAGGAGCAGATCTCTTCAGAAGGAAATCATTAGGCATAACAAGGGAGGCGGAAATGTCAAAATAAATAAATGAAGTAATGGCGTAAGAGACCACGCCGCAGATCGGTTAGCATCCGATTTGATAAAGAGGAAAATCTCCGCCTCTACCCCAGTATCAATACTATTAGGGCGTTAAAGGTAAAGGGACCCCTGACAATTAAGTCCAGTCATGACTGACTCTGGGGTTGCGGCGCTCATCTCGCTTTACTGGCCGAGGGAGCCGGCGTACAGCTTCCGGGTCATGTGGCCAGCAGGACTAAGCCACTTCTGGCGAACCAGAGCAGCGCACGGAAACGCCATTTACCTTCCCGCTGGAGTGGTACCTATTTATCTACTTGCACTTTGACGTGCTTTTGAACTGCTAGGTTGGCAGGAGCAGGGACCGAGCAACAGGAGCTCACCCCCTCACGGGGATTCAAACCACCGACCTTCTGATCGACAAGTCCTAGGCTCTGTGGTTTAACCCACAGCGCCACCCGCGTCCCATTAGGGCGCTAGGTGGCTGCCAATATAAGAATGTACGAAAACTGAAAACAAGCCCCTCTAGGTCCACCATATTCCCACGGCAGCCTTCCAGTAACACTCCCCTACTGCAGTTTGTTGCAACTTGAACTCAGAACCATATTGCTTGGTTTCACAGGCCTGGGGTAGGTGTTTGGAGTCTCAGCTGGCGAGGTAAGGAGTCATCCATGTTGAATCTGCCCCCCCCCCGAAATCTCCGCTCCTCTCAAGGGTTGTCATACATCCGAAATTTCCCAGACATGGCTCAGAAAAAGCTCGAAAACTTCAACAACTTTGGTCGAACAGTACAAAAGCCACACCCATTGGCCCGCCTCCTTTGGCCTCTGGCTCCGCCCACCAGGGCATGTGGCCCTCAGAAGGTTCCATACAAGGCAGTATGGCCCCTGCATGAAAAAAAGTTTTCCCACCCCTGCTCCAACCACTATGCAGCACTGCCTCTCTTGGATTACATTGGTTCTTTGTTAATATTCCCCACTCTCCAACTCCCAATTTTCTTTGGGCTTCCCTCATGAAGGCAGAGCAGGCTATGTCAGAAATGATGTGTTTTTGCCCGACGCGGCAAAGCTTCCATGGAGACTTATATACGATCGATAATAATGATGATAATAAACAACCTTTTGTCTCCCCCAAACCTTTGCATCTCTCCGTTAGTGCAACAAGACTGGACATGTGATATAATCCTCTTTTTTAAAAGAAAAGGTTGACATCAATTACAAAAATAGATTTCTCCCGTTTAGCTCAATAGCCGCAATGTGAATTTGATTGGTAGCTGCCTTGAAACTTTGTCGAAAGACAAGATGCGAATCTAGGCTGGGGGCGTGCCAATAATCGATGAAACCAATCAATTTCTCTCACAGGTTTGTTGCTCGATGCGAACGAGGACTTCTCTGAACACCACTGATCAGTTTTGGGTCGGTTTCTGTCAAATGAAGAGCAGGCATCTCTGCTACAAAGCAGGGATGGGTCAGGTTGGTTAGCCTCTTCCTGCTATGACCAGCTCTCCCCGCTTCCATGTGTCCCGGAATCAGAAGAGGGGTGAAGAGGGCAGAGCAAAGACAGGCAAGACGAAGGAGCCTCAGATTTCTTGGAAAGGAACTGGGGGAGGAAGGGACTTAGGTAAAAAAGGTAAAGGACCCCTGGACGGTTAAGTCCAGTTCATGGCGACCATGGGGTTGCGGCGCTCATCTCGCTTTCAGGCCGAGGGAGCCAGCGTTTGTCCACAGACAGCTTTCTGAGTCATGTGGCCAGCAGGACTAAACCGCTTCTGGCACGACTGGACACTGTGACGGAAACCAGAGCGCACGGAAACACCGTTTACCTTCCCGCCGGAGCGGTTCCTATTTATCTACTTGCGCTGGTGTGCTTTCGAACTGCCAGGTTGGCAGGAGCTGAGACAGAGCAATGGGATTCGAACCGCCGACCTTCCGATCGGCAAGCCCAAGAGGCTCAGCGGTTTAGACCACAGCTCCACCCACATCCCAAGGGATGTAGAGAGCGGTGGAAAGGTGGAGACCTCCAGCCTTCGCAACGGCCTCGTTGGGGAAGAGATATTGTGCTCACGTGCCGTGAGTTGTTTCGTTTCTTTGAATAGTTAACTTCGCCGACACCTTGCGAGTTATTGCGGACTTGCTCCTGACGCCTCTATTCTGCCTCCGCAGTTGGGGGTGCCAAGTCTTACAAATCCCAGTTGCTGGAAACCGCAGGAAGCGAGAGCTGCGTTCGAATCCTGCTGTGGGTTCCCCCCCCAGGCGCTGTGAGAAGAGAATGCCGGACTTGGTGGTCCGTTGGCTTGATTCAGCAGGGAGCTCTTTTGATGTTCTCTTTGTTTACCTGCCGGCAGAAGCATTTCACGAGCGCAATGTCTAGAAACATGGAGAAGCACAGCTCCCCGAGGGCATTTCAGCTGTCTGCGCCAGCGTTCCTTTTGTGCCACCCTATCGCTCTCTTCGGAAAGATCGGGAAGATACATTTACAGAGACAATCTCTCTCTGGCCACCTGCCGCGTATCCCCTTTCAGAGCATCTTTTTATCGACAGATCGCCGGCAACCTAAATGACATCTCGCCGTCCTTGACAGCGCGAGACGTGAGCAGGCGCACAGTCGCTTCTCTTCTTCCTCGTCGCGGGCCGGTCCACCTGGAGAGAGAGAGAAACTATTCCCTACGCGTGCAAACGCCAAAACATTTGTGTCTTACTGGAAAGAAGGGTGTGTGTGTGTGTTTTTCCTGGGTTGGGAGGACAGACACAAGAAAGCATTACTGACCCCCGACGAACACCATATTTGCGGATCCAAGATGGAAGACTCCGGACTGAAAAAGACGCCAGCGATTGCTGCTCGCGAGACGGGTATGGAGGAACATTGCTTACTTTGTTTATACTGAACATAAAGGTAAAGGGACCCCTGACCATTAGGTCCAGTCGTGGCCGACTCTGGGGTTGCGGCGCTCATCTCGCTTTATTGGCCGAGGGAGCCGGCGTACAGCTTCCGGGTCATGTGGCCAGCAGGACTGAGCCGCTTCTGGCGAACCAGAGCAGCGCACGGAAACGCCGTTTACCTTCCCGCCGGAGCGGTACCTATTTATCTACTTGCACTTTGCCGTGCTTTTGAACTGCTAGGTGGGCAGGAGCAGGGACCGAGCAACGGGAGCTCACCCCGTCGCAGGGATTCGAACCGCCGACCTTCTGATCGGCAAGTCCTAGGCTCTGTGGTTTAATCCACAGCGCCACCCGTGTCCCTTATACTGAACATGGCAACGTACTAAACCTCTAAGCAGAGCCGTCTTTCCCGTTGGTGTTAGTGGTGCGTCGCGCCAGGGCGCCGGCCTCTCAGGGGCGCCCTAGCGAGTAGGGGAGCTGTGCGGCTTTGTCGGCAGCCTCCCCTTTCCCTGCACGCCTGCCAGCTGCGCCCCGCCAACTATATGGCTGGCGGGAGGCATGCAGCTTCCTTCCCAAGCCTTCGTGGGAGGAGAGGGATCACCGCAGAGGCTTAGGATGAAAGCTGCGTGGCAGTAAAGAGCGCTATGCGCTCCCTGCTCATATTATGGGCAGATGGATCCAGCATTTCAGAAGTTTTAAAGTTTGCTTCTGGAATGGAAGACTAAAGATGAACAGGTTAAATCTGTAATGATACACTGGGTAATAATAATAATAATTTCTTATACCCCTCCGGTCTGACCAGGCCTCCCTAGCCACTCTGGGCGGCTCCCAACAGAATATTAAAAACACGATAAAACATCAAACTTTAAAAAATTCCCTAAACAGGGCTCCTAAAAGTCAGATAGTTGTTTATTTCCTTGACATCTGGTAGGAGGGCATTCCAATAGGGAGGGTGCCACCACCGAGAAGGTCCGGCAGGGATTTGGGCTAAAGATCTGGGGCACATAAAGTTATGGAAAACTGACTTGAAATTCTCAGCATGTTGTAGGCTGAAAGAAAACTGTATGAAAATGATGTGCCGGTGGTATTTGACCCCTAGTAAGTTAGCAAAAATGTACAAGACAAGTACAAATACCTTCCGGGAAGGTAAAGAAAAAGAAGGTACCTTTTATCATTTGTGAGGTAATAAAAGCATTCTGGGAGATAATATGCAGTCGTACCTTGTTTTGCGACTGGGATCCAAAAAGGAATACGCGAGCGGCAAACCTGGAAGTAACCCTTTCCGGTACTTCCAGGTTTGCCATGGACGTTCGCCGGAATGGACACTAGACAAGGCGGATGTTCGTGGAGGTAATGGAATGGGCGGGGGGAATGTTTAAAATAACCTTTATATAAAAAAACCAGAATCTTTTTTATTAGGAGTTGTAGGTAAAGGTAAAGGTAAAGGTAAAGGTAAAGGGACTCCTGACCATTAGGTCCAGTCGTGGCCGACTCTGGGGTTGCGGCGCTCATCTCGCTTTACTGGCCAAGGGAGCCGGCGTACAGCTTCCGGGTCATGTGGCCAGCAGGACTAAGCTACTTCTGGCGAACCAGAGCAGCGCACGGAAACGCAGTTTACTTTCCTGCCGGAGCGGTACCTATTTATCTACTTGCACTTTGATGTGCTTTCGAACTGCTAGGTTGGCAGGAGCAGGGACCGAGCAACAGGAGCTCACCCCGTTGCGGGGATTCGAACTGCTGACCTTCTGATCGGCAAGCCCTAAGCTCTGTGTTTTAACCCACAGCGCCACCTGTGTCCCTAACCAGAGGTACCACTGTATATAAAAAAAACAGAAGCTTTTTTATTAGGAGTTGTAGGTACTGATACCCCAAAGGACCAGAAAAGACTTTTTATGTATGCAATGACAGCTGCACGGATGTTACGAGCCCAAAGTTTCTACCAAACGCAGCTCTAGGAACTGCCAAGTTCGTCAGAAGCCTGAAAGGAGCTTGTCAATATGATGATCAACAGCACGATATGTGCCTCTAAAAGCTTCTGGGGTCCACGTGGGGTGACTGGGGAGGCCCACTCTGTTTCCCCCTGCTACAGGAATCGAATGTGTGCCTTTTCCAGGTTTTTGGCGAGAGCGCCGTCCAAAGATAGAGCTTCGTGTGATAATAAGCTGTTCTGGATTCTCTGTTGTAATTTGTGGGGCAGAGGAATTGTGGGCAGCAGGGACGGGAAGGTGTTTCGCTGACATTCTCTGAGGGCAGGAGAAAGTCTGTAGACAGCTTCTCAGCAGTGCGGGGGAGTTAGCAGTGGCAGGAACACAGCTGAAGAACACTCTCCTATTCCAAAGACCTATTCCAAAGACCTTTGTTGGCAAAGGTCTTGCCAACAAAGGTCCGTATAGTAAAAGCTATGGTTTTCCCAGTAGTGATGTATGGAAGTGAGAGCTGGACCATCAAGAAGGCTGATCGCCAAAGAATGGATGCTTTTGAATTCTGGTGCTGGAGGAGACTCTTGAGAGTCCATGGACTGCAAGAAGATCAAACCTCTCCATTCTGAAGGAAATCAGCCCTGAGTGCTCACCGGAAGGACAGATCCTGAAGCTGAGGCTCTAAGACTTTGGCCACCTCATGAGAAGAGAAGACTCTCTGGAAAAGACCCTGATGTTGGGAAAGATGGAGGGCACAAGGAGAAGGGGACGACAGAGGACGAGATGGTGGGACAGTGTTCTCAGGCTACCAGCATGAGTTTGACCCAACTGCGGGAGGCAGTGGAAGACAGGAGTGCCTGGCATGCTCTGGTCCAGGGGGTCACGAAGAGTCGGACACGACTAAACGACTAAGCAACAACAGCAACATTCCAAAGACGCGGGTGGCGCTGTGGTCTAAACCACTGAGCCTCTTGAGCTTGCAGATCAGAAGGTCAGCAGTTCGACGGGGTGAGCTCCCATTGCTCCGTCCCAGCTCCTGCCAACCTTGCAGTTCGAAAGCACACCAGTGCAAGTAGATCAATAGGTACCACTGCAGCTGGAAGGTAAACGGTGTCTCCATGCACTCTGGTTTCTGTCACGGTGTCCTGTGGTGCCAGAAGTGGTTTAGTCCTGCTGGGCACATTCTTAGTCACTGAAACCTGTTTCTAAAATGTTCCCCCCCCCCTCTTCATATACCATGCCAGGCCCCGGACCGGGATGCTACACCTTGCCCCCCACAGTTGGGTTTGTCAACCACGACTACACTCGATTCACCAGTCCAGCTTACTCCTTCCACCAGAGGCTGAAAAACAGACGTGAGTAGTTGAACCGCCGAGTGGTTACCTGTAAGGTAAAAGAGCAATGCTTGAGGAGGAGGCTGTGTCTTCTATATGGGCTGTGGTTGCTTGAGTGGGTGGGTGGCAGTTGTTTGCAGTGATTAACAGCCATTTGTGAGGTGCTTTCACATGCACATGTGTGCACGCACACACACACTTTTCCAGGTGTTCTGGGTAATGAAGTTTGATCCAGCAGAATTCATCTAATTGTCGGCCAATTGGTGCCACAGAAGGATAGAACTTTCTTCATGTATGCCACAACAGCAGCAAGAATACTCATCGCAAAAGTATTGGAAGACACAAGATCTACCCACTTTGGAAGAATGGCAGATGAAGGTGATGGACTATATGGAATTGGCAGAAATGACTGGCAGAATCCGAGACCAGGGAGAAGAGTCGGTGGAAGAAGATTGGAAGAAATTTAAAGACTATTTACAGAAGTATTGTAAAATTAATAAATGATAGAATGATGTTGGATAGTAATTAAGCGGTTTCCAGCTGTAATGTTCTAAGAGAATATGAAAAAAGGGTTATAAATGGGTTAAAATCTAATGGTAAGGATTTGCTGAACCAATAAATTGAAGTGGAATACAAAAAGGGAGGTACGAGGAGGTCCGGGAAACAAGCTAAAGGAAAATAAGTAATAGAAAATATGTGTGTTTTTAACTGTTTTTATTTTGTATTTTTCTTTTTTCTTTTTCATTTTCACTGTAATATTTCAAAAAACCTTAATAAATATCTTATAAAAAAACAAAAACAAAACAGAATTCATCTAAAAGCCCTAAACAGCCTCGGTCCAGTATACCTGAAGGAGCGTCTCCACCTCCAGCGTTCTGCCCGGACACTGAGGTCCAGCTCCGAGGGCCTTCTGGCGGTTTCCTCACTGCAAGAAGCCAAGTTACAGGGAACCAGGCAGAGGGCCTTCTCGGTGGTGGCGCCCGCCGTGTGGACCGCCCTCCCATCAGATGTCAAAGAGAAAAAGAACTACCAAACTTTTAGAAGACATCTGAAGGCAGCCCTGTTTAGGGAAGCTTTTAATGTTTAATAGGTTATTGTATTTTAGTGTTTTGTTGGAAGCTGCCCAGAGTGGCTGGGGAAACCCAGCCAGATGGGCGGGGTATAAATAATAAATTATTATTATTTATTACAGTGTCAAGGAGGAGGGGGCATGCTTAGGGAAAGGGCCCTACTGAGGCCATCTTGCCCACATGGCTGCCTCTAAATCACACACACACACACACACACACACACACACACACACACAAATATTCAGATGCAGCGGTGTTACCAGCCATGCAACAGGCTTGGAAACTTCCAAAATGCTTTTGAATATTTCTTCCAGGAAGTTCAAATGGGGTGTCCAGATGTGGACAGATGTGCTGGAATGTGTGGAAGGTGTGTGCATTGCCTCCAAAGTCAGAACAGAAGAGCACTTAAGGGGTGATATGATAGCCATGTTCAAATATATAAAAGGATGTCACATAGAGGGAGGGAGAAAGGTTGTTTTCTGCTGCTCCAGAGAAGCGGACACGGAGCAATGGATCCAAACTACAAGAAAGAAGATTCCACCTAAACATTAGGAAGAACTTCCTGACAGTAAGAGCTGTTCGACAGTGGAATTTGCTGCCAAGGAGTGTGGTGGAGTCTCCTTCTTTGGAGGTCTTTAAGCAGAGGCTTGACAACCATATGTCAGGAGTGCTCTGATGGTGTTTCCTGCTTGGCAGGGGGTTGGACTCGGTGGCCCTTGTGGTCTCTTCCAACTCTATGATTCTATGATTCTATTCTATGATTCTATGCAGCGCAGCGACGAAGCACAGGCAAAACTTTCCTAAATCCGCAGAAGGCACGGTTAAAATTAGCACATGAAGAGGAATAAAGGGATGTACATGTTCTCAAAGTTAACGGAGCTTTGCTTATAAAACAAATGAACATGACTGCAATGGAGACGAGATAAACATTTGACAGGTGGCATGAATAGCTGTCAGGATTCAAGTCTCCATGACAATTTTCAGAGATGGAGCCCACAAACGTCTCTCTGCACTTGGCAGCCTTTGCCACAAACAGTATCCAACTTTAGCACTGCTCAGAGTAGTCCCACTGAGATTAAAGGACCTGCGTGCATTTTTGTCAGTGAGTCATCTCTGACCAGGGCCGGATTATTGGTTTGATGAGGCCCTCAGCTACTGAAGGTAATGGGGCCCCTTCTATGTCCAGCTGTCCTTTGACAACAACAAGCGGTCACTGTTTTTGTGTTGAATATAGGAGTATATGGCAGGGGTCAGCAACCTAAGGCCCATGGGCCAGAAGAAGAAGAAGAAGAGTTTGGATTTGATATCCCGCCTTTCACTCCCTTTAAGGAGTCTCAAGCGGCTAACATTCTCCTTTCTCCTTCCTGCCCCACAACAAACACTCTGTGAGGTGAGTGGGGCTGAGAGACTTCAGAGAAGTGTGACTAGCCCAAGGTCACCCAGCAGCTGCAGGTGGAGGAGCGGAGACGCGAACCCGGTTCACCAGATTACGAGTCCACCGCTCTTAACCACTACACAGCACTGGCTCTGGTGTAGCCGGAAAAGGTCGTTTGACCAGCCCACGAGCCACCCCCCCGAACTGAGCTGCCCATTCGTGCGCTGCACTAAATTGGCACAGCGCAGGGTGGGGACTCGAAAATTGCGTCTGTGTCTGCGCATGCGCAGGTGCTGAAAATCACAGGTGCACACACGATCTAGCCCTTGAAGGGATCTCTGCGGGACCGATCCAGCCCAGGCAAGATAAACTTTGCTGATCCCTGCTATACGGTAATGCAAGCAGTCCATGCAGAATGTAGGCACCCTATATATAGAAAGGAGCAAACCAGGGATATTTTAGGGAGCAGGCTAGCAGGCGGGGGACATGACTTACATCTTGGAGCCTACACAACACAAAACACTGCTGCTGTAAGTAGGTTTTGTAATAAACGAAAATCTGTCCTTATTCCCTCTTGGGCAAGGTGATTGAGCACGTGGTTGCTGAACAACTCCAGGCACGCCTGGAGGATGCGGACCATTTGGATCCCTTCCAATCGGGATTCAGGCCTCACCATGGGACTGAAACTGCCTTGGTCGCGCTGGTTGATGATCTCCGGCGAGCTAGGGACAAAGGTGAGAGTTGTTTCCTGGTTCTGCTGGATCTCTCAGCGGCCTTTGATACAATCGACCATAACATCCTTCTGGACCGTCTAGAGGGGCTGGGAGCTGGGGGCACTGTTATACAGTGGTTTCGCTCCTTCCTCCTGGGCCGTGTTCAGAAAGTGGTGGTGGGGATGAGTGTTCAGACCCTGGGCCCTCACTTGTGGGGTGCCTCTGGGTTCCGTCCTCTCCCCCATGCTTTTTAACATCTATATCACCCCGCGGGGAGAGATCATCTGGGGATTGGGACTGGGTGTCCATCAATATGCAGATGATACCCAGCTCTACCTCTCTTTCAAATCAGAACCAGTGAAGGCGGTGAAGGTCCTGTGTGAGTGCCTGGAGGCGGTTGGAGGATGGATGGCGGCTAATGGATTGAAGTTGAATCCTGACAAGACAGAAGTATTGTTTTTGGGGGACGGGGGGGGCTGGTGTGGAGGACTCCCTGGTCCTGAATAGGGTAACTGTGCCCCTGAAGGACCAGGTGCGCAGCCTGGGAGTCATTTTGGACTCACAGCTGTCCATGGAGGCGCAGGTCAATTCTGTATCCAGGGCAGCTGTCTACCAACTCCACCTGGTACGCAGGCTGAGACCCTACCTGCCCGCGGACTGTCTCGCCAGAGTGGTGCATGCTCTAGTTATCTCCCGCTTGGACTACTGCAATGCGCTCTACGTGGGGCTACCTTTGAAGGTGACCCGGAAACTACAATTAATCCAGAATGCGGCAGCTAGACTGGTGACTGGGGCGGCCGCCGCGACCCCATAACACCGGGCTTGAAAGACCTACATTGGCTCCCAGTACGTTTCCGAGCACAATTCCAAAGTGTTGGTGTTGACCTTTAAAGCCCTAAACGGCCTCGGCCCAGTATACCTGAAGGAGCGTCTCCACCCCCATCGTTCTGCCCGGACGCTGAGGTCCAGCGCCGAGGGCCTTCTGGCGGTTCCCTCATTGCGAGAAGCAAAGCTACAGGGAACCAGGCAGAGGGCCTTCTCGGTAGTGGCGCCCGCCCTGTGGAACGCCCTCCCATCAGATGTCAAAGCGATAAATAACTACCTGACATTTAGAAGGCATCTTAAGGCAGCCCTGTTCAGGAAGCTTTTAATCTGTGATATTTTACTGTATTTTTTGTTTCTATGGAAGCCGCCCAGAGTGGCTGGGGAAACCCAGCCAGATTGGCGGGGTACAAATAATAAATTATTATTATTATTATTATTATTATTATGGGGGACAACAAGAGCCCTCATAGAGTCCTTGGTAAGTTCTCCATCGGTTGGAGGAAAAAACAGAGGGCAACCAGAGAATATTGAGGTATGCTGTCCCTCTCCAGGTGTACCCATTGTTTTATCTCGTCTTCTAGTATATCCGCTGTTGTTGTTTTTCCTCCTCTCCAGTAGACCTGAAGGATTCAAGTCCTGGGCCGTGTTACTTCGTGCACCCTGAACTCACGCGCTTTGGCCGGGCGAAGGGACCTTCCTACTCCATGCTGGCAAGAGCGAGACCCCCGGGTAAGTGGGCAGGCGGGCTTTTGAAACACCCATGAAACAGAGAGCATGCAATATAGGGGAGGTTGGGTACCAACTAGATTGCTGCGAGATGGTCAGGCTGGGTCTGCCCTCGGAGACGGCATAAATGTTGCAGCGGGTTCAAAACGCAGAGGCTAGACTATGAGCTTTACCCGGCTGCCGGTTTGTTTCTGGGCCCAATTCTGGTGCTCATCTGGGCCCAGTTCTGGTGATCAGCAGTTCCTCCACCCTCAGAGGCTTGAGGTGGTGCTGGCCTTGCAGGAGAGGGTCTCTAAGTGGGAGATCTCCCCACAAAAGTGCTTCTGGTATCTTCATCGTACCGCTTTCAGCAAACCGCTGACGACAGACCTCTTTACCCCGGCTTTTGACACTTGAGATGGATATTTGGTGACGGGGAGGGGCCGCCGAGACCACATAACACCGGTCCTGAAAGACCTCCATTGGCTCCTAGGACGTTTCCGAGCACAATTCAAAGTGTTGGTGCTGACCTTGAAAGCCCTAAACGGCCTCAGCCCAGTACACCTGAAGGAGCGTCTCCACCCCCATCGTTCTGCCCGGACACTGAGGTCTAGCGCCGAGGGCCTTCTGGCGGTTCCCTCCCTGCGAGAAGTGAGGTTGCAGGGAACCAGGCAGAGGGCCTTCTCAGTGGTGGTGCCCGCCCTGTGGAACGCCCTCCCATCAGATGTCAAGGAAATAAACAACTATCTGATTTTTAGAACCCCATAGTCACCTTTGACTTAACCGTCCAGGGGTCATTTGCCTTTTTTTTTACTTAGTAATAATTTGACTCCTGGGACGCGGGTGGCGCTGTGGGTTAAACCACAGAGCCTAGGGCTTGCCAATCAGAAGGTCGGCGGTTTGAATCCCTGCGACGGGGTGAACTCCCGTTGCTCTGTCCCTGCTCCTGCCAACCTAGCAGTTCAAAAGCACGTCAAGGTGCAAGTAGATAAATAGGTACCGCTCCGGCGGGAAGGTAATTGGCGTTCCATGCGCTGCTCTGGTTCGCCAGAAGCGGCTTAGTCCTGCTAGCCACATGACCCGGAAGCTGTACGCCCGCTCCCTTGGCCAATAAATCGAGATGAGCGCCGCAACCCCAGAGTCGGTCATGACTGGACCTAATTGTCAGGGGTCTCTTTACCTTAATTCAAGCCCCAAATTGGGCATAAGATTCCTGCATTGCTGGGGGTTGGGCTGTATGACCCACGCAACTGTTCAGGGAAGTTTTTAACGTGTGATATTTTACTGTATTTTTGGTTTCTATGGAAGCCGCCCAGAGTGGCTGGGGAGGCCCAGCCAGATGGGCGGGGTATAAATAATAAATTTATTATTATTATTATTATTATTATTATTATTATTATTATTACCCCTTCCATCTCCTCAATTCAGCTCTGTGCAAAGCTACTTCCTGTTCTCCGACCACTACACCACACTACCTCTGCGCCGAGCTGTGTTCAATGGTGTGTATTTTCCCTCCAGGTCTGCCCCAGACCCCTGGGCCGGGGGCGTACAGCCCTGAGAGGGCTCCTCCTCCGTCTCAGCAGAGACCGCCTTCCTTTTCCATCGGGGCCCGCACCAAAAGCCGCCTGGTGGACCCCGTCCCGGCCCCCAACAGCTACACCCTCCCCTCGCTGCTTGGCCCGCGGGTGCCCAGCAAGCCCTCGAGTCCATCCTTCACCATCCGTGGCTGGAACGCCAAGGGGAGCTACGCCGAAGACCTCTCCCAGACCCCCGGCCCGGGGCGTTACAACACCACAGACCCCAGTGTTTATCTGTGTCGGCCCCCGTCGTTCTCCATGCTGGGGAGGTTGAAGAAGCCCACACAGGTCTCCCACACCCCGGGCCCCGGGGCCCACAGCCCAGAGAAGGTGAAGGTTCATAGGGCGAGAGCCCCTTCCTACTCCCTCGGGGTCCGCCACTCGGAATTCCTCATGCCCCTCATCACGGATGTTCCAGAGTGGTAGAATCAGGGGCCACTGCCTCACCTGACGCACATCTAGGACATGCGGATGATACCCAGCTCTAACTCTCTTTCAAATCAGAACCATTGAAGGCGGTGAAGGTCCTGTGTGAGTGTCTGGAGGCAGTTGGAGGATGGATGGCGGCTAACAGATTGAGGTTGAATCCCAAGACAGAAGTACTGTTTTTGGGGGACAGGAGGCGGGCAGGTGTGGAGGACTTCCTGGTCATGAATGGGGCAACTGTGCCCCTGAAGGACCAGGTGCGCAACCTGGGAGTCATTTTGGACTCACAGCTGTCCATGGAGGTGCAGGTCAATTCTGTGTCCAGGGCGGCTGTTTATCAGCTCTATCTGGTACGCAGGATGAGACCCTCCCTGCCCGTGGACTGTCTTTCCAGAGTGGTGCATGCTCTGGTTATCTCCCTCTTGGACTACTGCAATGCGCTCTACGTGGGGCTACCTTTGAAGGTGACCTGGAAACTGCAATTAATCCAAAATGCGGCAGCCAGAGTGGTGACTGGGAGCGGCCGCCGAGACCACATAACACCAGTCCTGAAAGACCTACATTGGCTCCCAGTATATTTCCGAGCACAATTCAAAGTGTTGGTGCTGACCTTTAAAGCCCTAAATGACCTCGGCCCAGTATCCCTGAAGGAGCGTCTCCACCCCCATCGTTCTGCCCGGACACTGAGGTCCAGCTCCGAGGGCCTTTTGGCGGTTCCCTCACTGCGAGAAGCCAAGTTACAGGGAACCAGGCCTTCTCGGTGGTGGCACCCACCCTGTGGAATGACCTCCCACCAGATGTCAAAGAGAGAACAACAACTACCAGACTTTTAGAAGACATCTGAAGGCAGCCCTGTTCAGGGAAGCTTTTAATGTTTGATGTATTACAGTATTTTAATATTTTTTTGGAAGCCGCCCAGAGTGGCTGGGGAAGCCCAGCCAGATGGGCGGGGGTATAAATAATAAATTATTATTATGAGAGACACAGACTGATTCAAAGCTGCAATGATACACTGGGCAAAGTATTTGGGAATGGGTAAATGAATGAATCTTTATTTGCGTCAGCCATCGGCCATTGCAATAAAACAACAATGCGATATGCAAAGAATGGAAATGAAAAGTCAATTGTATAAAATACATTTTAGGGTTTTGAGTCAATAGTCAAATAGTGGATCTTGTTCTGATTGCCCCTGCTAAAGACCTTGCAACCTTTGCTGTCACCTGCTCATCTTGATCTGCCAAGAGAAAGGACACTGGGGCAGTGGCTGGGTGACCCGGAATGGACAATAAAAGAGGGGTGATAATCTTATTCTTGTTGTCTTTGTCCATGGAGTTTTCTTGGCAGGGATACTGGCGTGGCTTGCCGGTTCCTGCTCCAGGTGGATCATGTTTGGTCAAAACTCTCCACTATGACCTGTCCATCTTGGGTGGCCCTGCATGGCATAGCTCATAGCTGCTCTGAGTTATTCAAGCCCCTTTGCCACGGTAAGGCAGTGATCCATGAAGGGGATGAAAGATGGAGGGCACAAGGAGAAGGGGATGACAGAGGATGAGATGGTGGGACAGTGTTCTCGAAGCTACCAGCATGAGTTTGACCCAACTGCAGGAGGCAGTGGAAGACAGGAGTGCCTGGCGTGTTCTGGTCCATGGGGTCACGAAGAGCCGGACACGACTAAACGACTAAACAACAACAACCAAATCCTAGCTGCTGTTGTGGCATACATAAATAGATTTTTCTGAGACCTAGCTACTACCTACTGTGCCATTCCCCAAAAAAGTGCCTCTGGTTGTTGGGGTGTGTGTCTTTTAAACATGTTTTTCGTCTTGTTATATATCATTTCCCAATTCTCTAACTATTTTGCATGTCCACCACATGTGGAAAAAAGTTCCTTATGTTTCCAGCACAATGACACATTCCGTACCAGAGAAGACTGGCAGATTAAACTGAGAGACTATGCAGAGATGGCAAAAGTGACCGGAAGAATCAGGAAGACCAACATTTCAATAAGGAAATGGGGGGGGGGGATATATAATTTACACACACACACACACACACATATATATAATTTTTAAAATTATTAGTAGTGTTGGAATGATGCTTGTAGTTAAACGTTGGGCTGTGGTTTTATTGGAGATTTAATAGAATTGGATTAACGGAGAAGTTGCAGAAGGAAAAGTTAACATAAGGGTAAAAGAAAGGTAAAGGTAAAGGACCCCTGGACAGTTAAGTCCGACTATGGGGTTGCGGCGCTCATCTCGCTTTCAGGCCGAGGGAGCCGGCGTTTGTCCCCAGACAGCTTTCCGGGTCATGTGGCTAGCAGGACTAAACCGCTTCTGGTGCAACGGGACACCGTGACGGAAACCAGAGCGCACAGAAACACCGTTTACCTTCCCGGGTACCTATTTATCTACTTGCACTGGTGTGCTTTCGCACTGCTAGGTTGGCAGGAGCAGGGACCGAGCAACGGGAGCTCACCCCGTCGTGGGGATTCGAACCGCCGACCTTCCGATCGGCAAGCCCAAGAGGCTCAGTGGTTTAGACCACAGCGCCACCCGCGTCCCTTAACATAAGGACCCACAAATGGGAGGAGGGAAGTCCAAGGGTTTGTTTTATTTGTTTGGTGTATGTTTGTAAATCTGTAAATTTAAACGATTTGGTGTTGTTTTTTAAGAGTAAAATGGCACAAAACCTCTGGCAGAGGAGTAATTAATTCATCACTTGCTTTCTTCCTCCCTCCCTGTGACCTGCCGAGGAGAACAGCTCTCACCTGGTTTTTTTGGCCTGTGACTGCGCTGCAAACTCAGAATAGTACGGCCTCTCTCTCTCTCTCTCTCTCGCCGCCAGAAGATAATCCGAGCCTCCGAGACGACAGGCCAGCTTTATTCAAGCACCAGAGCATGTCTATCTTCTGACTGTGATTCTCTTTAATGAACTGTCCTTGATCCACTCTGAAGAGAGCAGGGGGCTTAGGGAGCCCAGGATTTCGCTGCTTTACGAATCACGATGCCCATCCTGCTTGCGAAGGAAGGAGCAAGCAAGCCTGGCCTCCGCTTATGGTGGATTTGCAGCGGCCTTCCTTGCTGGGGAGGGACGCGGGTGGTGCTGTGGGTTAAACCACAGAGCCTAGGACTTGCCGATCGGAAGGTCGGCGGTTCGAATCCCCGCGATGGGGTGAGCTCCCTGCTCCTGCCCACCTAGCAGTTCGGAAGCATGTTAAAGTGCAAGTAGATAAATAGGTACTGCTCCGGCGGGAAGGTAAACGGCGTTTCCGTGCGCTGCTCTGGTTCGCCAGAAGCGGCTTAGTCCTGCTGGCCACATGACCCGGAAGCTGTACGCCGGCTCCCTCGGCCAGTAAAGCGAGATGAGCGCCGCAACCCCAGAGTCGGCCATGACTGGACCTAATGGTCAGGGTCCCCTTTACTTTTACCTCTTTGCTGGGGGGGTCAGGGGGAAGCTAACAGGGGGGTGTCCTAGCAAGGCAGGCAGACCCACACCCTGTATTCCAGACATAGCAAGTCTACGATATTGTGCGGCCGAACGCCGTTTGCGTTTAGCCATGCGTCAACAAAACCGCTTGTGTGTTTGCGAAGCTAAGCAGGGTCCGGTATGGATTCAGATTGGATGGGGGACGAAGTGCTGAGATTCCTGCATTGCAGGAGGTTGAGCTGGATGACCCTTCCAGCTCTACAATTCTATGGTTCTTAAATTGAATTCATTGTGTGTTTGTTGTTGTTATTTTTTAAAAGCATTCTCCTGACTCAGAAAACCGACGGGAGGCCAGTTGACTTCAAAGCTGGATGAAACCATCGGAAGTCAAATAAATTTAAGTCCAACCCCTGGTCTTTGCATCTAACTCCTTCCTTCCTTTTCTAAGCAATCAGAAGTCTATTTTATCTTTATCTACAAAGGGGACGCGGATGGCGCTGTGGGTTAAACCACAGAGGCTAGGACTTGCTGATCAGAAGGTCGGCGGTTTGAATCCCTGCGACGGGGTGAACTCCCGTTGCTCTGTCCCTGCTCCTGCCAACCTAGCAGTTCGAAAGCACCTCAAAGTGCAAGTAGATAAATAGGTACCACTCCGGTGGGAAGGTAAACGAGGTTTCGTGGCTGCTCTGGTTCGCCAGAAGCAGCTTAAGTCATGCTGGCCACATGATCCGGAAGCTGTACGCCGGCTCCCTTGGCCAATGAAGTGAGATGAGCGCCGCAACCCCAGAGTCGGCCACGAATGGACCTAATGGTCAGGGGTCCCTTTACCTTTTTACAAAGGAACCACCATTTTTCAAGGCAACTCCCATCACAAGCCTGACAAATCAGCAACTCAACAATCAAATAATGGGAATATCTTTATCTGACGGCAACGTTTATTCTCTTGTTTTTCCTCTTTCATGGCAGTTGTGGTCCACAACATTGAGACGGCACCAGGTCATTGCGGCGGCAAACTCTATGAAAGGGCTTTCTTAAAGGCACCAAGATGGGCTACATAATCTTGGGAGGGGGGCAGAGGTGAATCCTGGTGGCAGCTCTCCCGGGGGCTGGGAAGAGTTAGTCCGCTTTGCCCCCAAATGGCAACAGGATAACCTGCCACCTGGCCTCCTCGTGGTTAAAAAGAGGCAGTGCCGTGCAGTGGTTAGAGCGTCAGACATCAGGGTTTGAACGTCACGGCGCTCGCTGGGTCTCGATCATTTCCCCGAATACAGCCGTACCTTGCTTCTCAAATGCCTTGTGACCCGGATGTTTTGGCTCCCAAAACGCCGCAAACCCGGAAGCGAGCGTACTGGTTCGCGAACTTTTTTTTGGAACCCGAACATCCGACGCGGCTGCCAATTGGCCGCAGGAAGCTCCTGCAGCCAATCGGAAGCCGTGATTTGGTTTCCGAATGTTTTCAGAAGCCGAACAGACTTCCAGAAGGGATTTTGCTTGAGAACCAAGGTATGGCTGTAACATCTTTTAGATAACCAAGCAGAAATATGGTTACAGTGGTACCTTGGATTGCATACGCT